CGTGCCGCTTTAGAGCCAGTTTTCGATCAAATGGCGGGAAATTTCCGTAGTTTTTTTTAAGCATTATGCAAAGAGTTATTCAGTCACTATTTTGTTTCTGCGTTTCTCTTGCAAAATTCCGCTGGATCGATGCATCGTGGGGACAAGATGGCGGATGATTTATGGGAACTCAAATGTGGCTTTTTTAAAAATTTGCTTTTAAAAGCTTTTTACATGATTATCTATTGACTTGAAATGACATTTTTGAGAGTATTTTGATAATTTTGGCGTAAAAAATACCGCATTCTCTTAAGATATTTCCATGGACTTTGATGCCATTCCATTCTTCACCGTCTACACTGGTTTATCAGGAGCCATGAGCTCTTCGAGTTTAACGTATGTTTTTAGCAAACCAAAGAGGTACAAGGACTAAAATATATCAGGCATGACTTATATATCTATCTACATTTATATGTCATATACTGATTTCTTGTTAATACATTTTCTCGACAGGGGRTGGAGAGGGGACGATTTCATTCGAACACTGGATTACAAAAGCTTTTCCCTTTCACTTATCATAATATGGATGCTATTATTCTTATCATTATTATTTTTGCATCACAGACGCATCCATATGTTTTCTGATACAGCCATAAGGTTCTTCGTCTAGGTAGATGAGAAACCTCCCTTTAATCCTTGCACTGACTTATAACTATAAGTATAGTGATATGCTTAAATTAAAACTATATACCAGCATTCAAACTATAAGAAACTACACGATAGTAATATAGGACATGACAGAAAATGACATTGTGAACAACAGCACTAGACACTTCGCTATTAAAAAGTTTATATTTTTAGTTACGCTGGATTTCTAACCACTTAACTCAAAGGCTGCTCGTCAGAGGCCGTAAGATAATCAAGTTTGACACGTGTTTTAGTCCATAATTGATTTTGACTACTTGCAAAATTTTGCTTGASATTATCACACTCTCTTAAAGGGGATTGGGGAGGAGCGACAAAGGAGAAAGAATGAGACTGGAGTCTAGTAATTCAATCAACATACTAGGCTCTACGAACTGGATGGTGCTTTCAGTGGTCGTGTCAGGGGCTACCATCATCTGGATGGTCCTTTTAGTGGTCGTGCCAGGGGCTACCATCAACTGGATGGT